ACGGAACGATTAGAAATCTTATCATGGCCTCGAGGTGAGAAAAGCAAACGAAATTCGTGGTTTTTTAAACGGTGGTTGGGGCATATGAGAAGTCAAAATCGAGCCTGCCGGCTGAACTATGCTAGAATTATGTATATGGCTGCAGAGGAGTTCATTCCGAAACTGCTAGGACGTGGTCTGATGCATAACAGATTGTTTCTTTTCAAATGAGTGGTTTTTATCGAATTTCGGACGAGAAGGGATTTTTGCTATGTAACGCAATACACTACACAAAACAACGGGCCTTTTGTCATGCTGTAAACACCGCTATAATTATGCAGCGAATCCAATTATGGGTTGTTATCCTCGCCAGGAGAGAGCCGGGTATTTGTTAAGTCTGTTTCGGCTGCGTTGCAAAACTGCGGCGTATTTTTGATGTGCCGAACTCAATGCATAAACTCAGTATTGTTGTGTATTCATGATTGGCTTAAAATGTAGTGGGCGAGACCAGTTTGCAAGAGGCCCAGGTTAGGTACCGCTTATTATACATCGCGGGGGGAGGGGTGGGAGGGTCCCGATAGAATTTCTTTACCTCACCATGAGACTATAACATTCCTATGATCCCCCTCATTGGCTATGAATTGGCAGTCCATTTTCCGTCTAAAAGGCCCCCTTAGAACTCTCAGTTGGTGGGCGACGATCGATCCCCCTCCGGTCACTCGGAACGCATTTTCGGTCATTTGACATGATTTATAAAACTTAAATTTACTTATTGATCGAATAGGTTTTGCCGGCGGGAATTATGGGATTGATTCTGACGAACAGGTCCAGACCCTCCTCGATTCTGGTAAGAACGATTACGAACTAAAATTGTTTGAGATTACTTATGCAAAGAAAAAATAAAATTTTTTACTTCAGCATGACATTTAAGAATTAATCACTGACGACGAGGTAAATATATCCAATACTTATACCTACTACTTGGCTTGGGAAGCAGGGATGGCGTAGTACTGAGAGCACTCGCCTCCCACCAATGTGGCCCGTGTTCGATTCCCGGACCTGATGCCATAAGTGGGTTAAGTTTGTGTTGGTTCTCTTCTCTGCTTCGAGGGTTTTTCTCCGGGTTCTCCGGTTTTTCTCCCTCACCAAAAACCAACATTGTAAGCTGTGCTCCAAGATCACACATGGACCGTATAGCGGCTGCCAGAGGCGCCATTGTGAGCTTTCGGTTCGACCTTGTTGAGCTGCGTCGTTGCTGTACTTTGCGACGGCGATTAGCAGTGAAAATTATTATTATTATTATTATTATTATTATTATTATTGTTATTATAAGATATATTTTAAGTTCATGATTGAGCTGATGTGCTTTTCCTCTGAATTCATGATTTCAGCTAAATTGCCTCTATTCAATTAGTATCGCCTCTGTCGTAGTTTGTGCATTAATTGATGCTTGAAAATTACTCATGGGCTTTAAACGTGTCTTTACACCAAGATTCCACCACGAAAGGCATAAATGCCTTGATTGTCGTATTTTCCATCCCTGAGATCATTCTTGCCGTGTCGATTGCTCGGAACAGTTTTGCTGGCTGACAGTCGCCGCAGGAAAATCAGGTCTATTGCACTGCTCAGGATAGATATTAATAATCGAATAGGGCACACAGGTTTAGGAAGGCGTGCAGTATGAAAATAATAAAAAAAAAATCAATATCTTAACTTTGCACTGTTTCTGCAGAAAACCAGAATGTCCTCTTTCTTCCGTCCTCCTTCCATCCCCTCCTTATTTATTGCACAATTTCCATCTACTTCGTTCGTCTCAGCCCACTTTACTGCGCCTCCTAACCCCCTCCATCCCTTCATCTGCCCCCTTTACGTTCTCTTCTTGTCTTCCTCCATTCCTTTTCCACTTTTCTTCTCCCCCATACCCTCCTCTCCTTTTCTTTCTCCCTACATCATCCAGTCTCCATTCCTTTCAACCTTCCTATCTGTTCTTATCCCTTCTTGCTTCGATACCTCTCTCCTTTCATTTGTCCCTCCTTAAAAAAAAATTAAGTACAATAACTAATCTTCATTGAGGATACCAGGTTCATAAAGATTGGCTTACAAGAGGGTCCTCCTAAAAAGGATTAAGTGTTATAACTATGAAAGACGCTATTAAAAGAAGGCGTATACGAGTGCTCAAAAAGATCATTTATGGATTATTGAGCAATTACTTCACTATGCTCTGTTATGCGGCACTGTCCTTGATCAAATTCGTGCAACATTCTCCACAGCGGTTTAATTTGTTTCTTAGAGAGCGATACATCTTCCAATGCCTTTTGCTGTTACTTCCTTTAGCTCTTTTTCAAATGGATGTGGTGATATTTCACAACGGTAAAGATAACTGGGAGTTATTCAAGGCGTAGACGTGACATTGGATTGTGCGTGTCTCAATTGGTGCGGAGTCTCAGCAATATCCAAAAATCGATTTCTTCAAACTTCCACCTTTACTCGTCTTTCTTCCTTTTCTCCATTCCTCAATTTTTTGTATTACCATATTTCTCCCTAAATTCCTCCCTCCTTTTCTTCCTCCCATCCCTCTTTCATTCATTCCTCCTTCCCTTCGTTTCTTCCTCCTCTCCAATTCTTCCCCCATACTCCCTCCGTTTCTATCTCCTTCCATTCCTCCAAATTTTCTCCCTACCTTTCTTTCACCCTCTATTTCTTTTGTTATTTCCTCTCTTTCTCTTCTCCTTTCATTTCTTCATCTTCTACTCTCTTTTTTCTTTCTTCCTTTCAATTTCCCTTCCCTCTTCTCTCTCCTCCTTTTCATTCTATTCTTCTTTCTTTTCCAACCTCCCCTGTCTTTCCCCCCTTCCTTCAATCCATTTCCTCCTCTCCTTTTCCCTCCTTCCCCTACTCTTTCTTTTTCTCCAACTCAGCTTGGTGTTTTTATTTCTCTCCAACTGTAGGCTTTTCCAATATAACCTATGGAGGCCATTCCAACCTCTGGAGCCACCATACAAATGATGTCATCCAGCAGCCTCAGTGCATATAGTTCAATCTGAATGTTTGTTTGTTTCTTCAGTGGCCTTCTGAAGTCACTTTTAAAAATATCATATTTAGCAATATAACACTTCTCTGAGTGACGACAACAACGGAGCTGATACCTCGTAGTACTGGCTTACGTAACGTAACGAAACGTAATGTAACGTAACGCAAATGAATTATATCATAACAGGGTTACAGAAAGCACTATGTTGTAGACATGATGTAGCAAATAACATGTTACCGAGGGAAAAAGGGAAACTGTACCAATAATTTTCATTGTTTAGATATTGTTCAGGTGATTATGTACTAGTTGTCAGGCGTTATCTTTCACCCTCAGCCCGGCTGTTTTTTTTTGTTTTTTTTTTTTTTGTTATAACTTTAGCCGTGACTTTGTCTTTTCTTTTTTTCTTTTTTTTCCATATCTGACAGGCACTTACCATTAGTAAGAACCACCCCGCAGAACGAAACATGGTCCGCATAGAACCGCCCGCCCAGGGCAGTCAGTTTTTTAATTGCACCTATCAATTTTGTTTTCACACTTATAATAATACTAACAATCATCATCATCATTATCATATTGTAGTTATTGTTATTATTGTAATAACAATAAGTTCTTCAGGAGGGTCGTTCCATTCCTTTCAGCCGTGTATTGAAATGTGGATTGGCCCATAGCAGTTTGGTTCTCGAGAGATGAAGTTTTCTTCTAGGGCTCTTCCATCACAGCGATCAGATCTGTTTCGTTCGAAATATCCTTGCAGCTCATTGAAACTTTTTTTCAGAATCATTATAGTTATTATTATTAAAAACTGGATCATTGGATAATGCAATTCAAGACTTTTTATCGGCTTAGCCATTATGGTATATGAGCCAATATACCATAATCTACAAATATGGTAAGCGTACGCGTCAGCTTAAAATCAAAAGGAAGCTAAAAAATCCGGTTTCTTCTTACAAAATAATAATTTCTTGAGGGCGTTTTTAATAAAACAATTATTCCACTCGCACTTTTTGGATGAGATGATATATAGCCAACTCGGCGCTACGCGCCTCGTTGGCTATTTATCATCTCATATCTACGGTGGCCCAGAAGGCTCAACGCAAACAAAAAATATACTGCAGCAAATAAAAAATATACTGTAGCAAATAGAAAATATACTGCAGTAAATAAAAAATATACTGCAGCAAAGAAAAATATA